TCCCTGTTTAATAAATGGTATTGGGAAAACTGGCTAGCCATGTGCAGAAAGCAGAAACTGGACCCCTTCCTGACACCTTACACTAAAATTAGCACCAGATAGATTAAAGGCTTAAACGTAAGACCTAACACCATAAAAACCCTAAAAGAAAATCTAGGCAAAACTGTTCAGGACATAGGCATAGGCAATGACTTCATGACTAAAACACCAAAAGCATTGGCAACAAAAGCCAAAATAGGCAAATGGAACCTAATTAAACTCCAGAGCTTCTGCACAGCCAAAGAAACAATCATTAGAGTGAGCCAGCAACCAACAGAATGGGAAAATTGTTTTGCAATCTACCCATCTGAGAAAGGGCTAATATCCAGAATCTACAAATAACTAAAACAGATTTACATGAAAAAAAAACCCATTCAAAAGTGGGCGAAGGATATGAACAGACACTTGAAACATTTGAAAAAATGCTCATCATCACTGATTATTAGAGAAATGCAAATCAAAACCACAATGAGCTACCACCTCACAACAGTTAGGATGGCAATCATGAAAAAGCTGGAGACAGCAGATGCTGGAGAGGATGTGGAGAAATAGGAACATTTTACACTGTTGGTGGGAATGTAAATTAGTTCAACCATTATGGAAGACAGTGTGGTACTTCATCAAGGACCTAGAAATAGAAATTCCATTTGACCTAGCAATCCTATTACTGGGTATATAACCAAAGGAATATAAATTAGTCTCTTATAAAGACACATGCACACATATGTTCATACGGGCACTGTTTACAATAGCAAAGACCTGGAACCAACCCAAATGTTCATCAATGATAGACTGGACAAGGAAAATGCGGCACATATACACCATGGAATATTATGCAGCCATAAAAAATGATGAGTTTGTGTCCTTTGTAGGGACACAGATGAATCTGGAAACCATCATTCTCACAAACTGACACAAGAACAGAAAATCAAACACCGCATGTTCTCACTTATAGGCGGTGTTCAACAATCAGAACACATGGACACAGGGAGGGGAGCATCACATACTGGGGTCTGTTGGGGTGGACTAGGGGAGGAACAGCATGGGGTAGGGAGTTGGGGAGGAATAACATGGGGAGAAATGCCAGATATAGGTGATGGGGGGATGGAGGCAGCAAACCATATTGCCGAGTATCTATCTAATGCAACAATCCTGTATGTTCTGCACATGTACCTGGAACCTAAAGTATATATATATATATATATATATGAACAGTTTGCCTGAATCAGAATCCAAGTAAGATCTACACATTTCAATTCAGTTGCTATCTCTTATGCCTTTTTCAGTCTGTATGTTTCCCCTCTATTTCCTTTTCTTTCTGAAAATCAACCTTATTTTTTAGAATAGATTTAGATCTACAGAAAAGAAAGTTAGTAGTATTAACATCTGCATTGGTATGGTACATTTATGACAATGAATGAAGCAATATATATACATTATTAACTGAAGTTCATACTTTGTTCAGATTTCCTTAGTTTTTACTAACACCTTTTTCTGTTCCAGGATCTCATCTAGGACACCATATAACATTAGTTATCAGGTCTCCTTCAGCTCCTCTTGGCTCTGACAGTTTCTCAGATTTTCTTTGTTTTTGACGACCTTGAAAGTTTTGAGAAGTATTGATCATGTATTTTGTCGACTGTCCCTAAATTGGGCTTTGTCTGATATTTTTTCCATGATTATAGTAGGGAAAGGGGTTTTGGAGAGGAATATCACAGAGGTGAAGTGCCATTCCCATTACATTATATCAAGAATACATACTATTGACATGACTTACCATGGTTGACATTGGCCTCGTTCATCTGACTGAGGTAGTTTGTCAGGTTTCTCCATTGTAAAGTTACTCCTTTCTTACTTTTCCCGTACTTTAGCCTCTGGGATGAAGTCACTCTGTGCAGCCCACATTTAGAGTGGAGAGTTATGAGTCACCTCCTTAAGAGTGGAATATTTGCATGTTATTTGGAATTCTTTTGCACAGGAGATTTTTCTCTTCTCCCCCATTTCTTTATTTATTCAATTATCTATTTATATAAGTGGGGACTTATGGATATTTATTTTATTCTTTGGGTTATGATCCACTATTACTTCATTTATTTTCTGGCTCAAATTATTCCTGTGTGTATACCAACTCATGTGTATATACATATCAATATTTCCATATGTAACTATCTGTACCTATGTTAAGTTTAATATGAATTTATACTAATATCTCCAACTCTAATCAGTTACCACAAAGATAATTTTAGCCTTCTGCCTTGCTTATCTCAAAATTTCCACTCTCAAATTTGTCAACAGTGAAAAGCTTTGCTGCTACCATCCACCATCCGTTGCTTAATTGTCCAGTTCCAGTATACATGCATGGCAGTATCCGAATTGTCAGCCAACTCAGGGAAATAACTTTATCAAGCAGAATACAGTGCTTATGTGCAATTCTTTTGTTTTTAGTCTTATAGACTCTGTTTATTTCCAAAGTTACTTAAGTAAGTTGCCACTTAAGTTAAACATACTCCTATCATATGATCCATCCATTCCATTCCTAGCTATTTACCCAAAGGAAATGAAATCATATGTCCATGCAAAGACTTACAAACAAGTGCTTACAGAGTCTTTATTTATAGTAGCCCAAACCAAAAACAACCCAAAATGTCTATCTACAGGTGAATGGATAAACAAATTTGATTTTTCCAAACAATTAAATACTAATTAGCAATAAAAATAAATGAACTGTTAATATGTGCAGCAATATGAAGGAATCTGAAAATTATTATGCTGAGTAAAAGAAGCCAGTTCCAAAGGTGCAAATTCTGAATAAAATGAGTACCTACTATATGAGTTCCTTTACATAAAATTTTAGAAAATGTAAATGATAATGACAGACAGCTGATCAGGGATTGCCTGGGAATCAAGAGGTTTGGAGGAGCAGCAGGAGGAAGCAACTATAAAGACATAAACTTTGGGAGATGATGGATATGTTCACTCTCTTGATTGTGAGGATGTTTTCGTGGATAAAATCACATGCAAAGTTATCCAATTGCACAGTTTAAATATATACAGTTTACTTTATGTCCATTTCACCCCAATAAAAATGTCTTATGCTTCCTATCCTTCACCAATTTACCCTAGAGCAGCTCCTCAAACTTTAATGTACACATGAAGAATGTACAATTCTCTCTCCCGTGAGAACTGTGTTAAAATGCAGATTCTGATTGCTATGCCTGGGATGTGACTTGAGATTCTGCATTTGTAACAAGCACCCAGACGGTGCCATTGCTGCTGGTCTGAGGGGTCTCACTTTGGGTGTGATGGTTCATATACTTTATGTACAAGAATCACTTAGAAACATTTTGGAAATTGCAGGTGCTTTATACTCAGAGAAAAGGATTCCACAATGCACTTTTCACAAGACCCTCAAAGATTCTGATGCTTAGATATTTGTTGACCACCCTTTGGAAAACATTAAGCAAAGGCTTGAAAACCAACTTGGCCATATTCTCTAACATATTCAATAATTTCTACCAGATTTCCAGACACCATCTGAAAACTTTTAAATCTCTTCTAAATGTGAATTGCACTCTCCTTTTGTTTATGGAGTAGGAATCCCAGACATAAAACTGACAACATTTTAACAGAAAAGTACATATAGTGAAGGGGGACTTAGTCAGCAGGTGAAAGTCCTGAGACCATTCTAGTAGGAAGAAAGGAGATAATTTAGCACCTGGGGAAAAAGTCCACCTGTAACTATAACAAACTTCCTACTCTTCAAATAACATTTGAAAAAGGATTTCCTCCTTCCTTCCTTCACTTTAATCTGGGCCACAAAGCTGTGGAAAGAGTTCAAGTTGAAGCAATGCAAATGGAGATTCTCAGCTCCTCTACAAATAACTTTCTAACTTTGGGAAATTTTCTTTTCCTCTTGAGCCTTTATTTATCTGCTAAATGGATATAATAAACTGATTTTTCCAGTTTGTTACTAAATTGGGAAATAATGCAAAAGAAGATCAATGATTAACCCCCCTTTGATAATCAAAATGTAAGAAAATATAGTTCACAGAGAAGTAGACACAAATGGAGTTTACATATATGAAATAAGCCTTAAATTGATTCACAATAAGAGAAATGCACATAAAAACTGCAAGATATATTTTGCACCCATCATATTGGTAAAGATCATTTTATGCACTATGTTGATAACAGCATGAAGAATAAGCACTCTCTTACACTGACAGTAGGTATATAAATTGGTACATCACCCGTGGAGACCAACTGGCCATGTCAACAAAAATTAAAATTTTTATACACTTCGAATCAGAAATTCCACATCTAGAAGTTTGTACTACAACTGCAAGTACTAGTTCAAATAGGAAATGAAGCATTCACTGCAGTACTTTTATAATACCAAAATATTAGAAACATAATGAATATCACTAATTAAATGAATATATGTAATATAGAGACTCTGTGTAATACAGCCATTAAAAATGAGATATGTTTTTATGGGAGGATCTCTAATACATACATGCATAAACGTGTCTGATGAAAATACAAGTATTTATTTATATAGAAAACCTTTAAAAGAATATATGAGAAACTGCTCAGAGTAGCTATTTGTTGGAAAGAAAACTCGATTTCTGGAAAATATATTGATGGGAATATTGTAAATCTTTTTTTCCCTTTAAAAAGTTTTTTTTTTATTTTCAACTTTGCAGTTTGAAAGATTTTCAAACTTAGAAAAAAGTTGCAAAAAATGTCATAGAATTTTTTTTCTTCCGTTGATTTTAACTTTATTTAGACACCTTTGTCATCTATTATTTCACTCTGTGACTTGACATTCAGAAATAAAAATATACACACACACACACACACACACACACACACACACACACATATATATTCTATGTCATGCACCATGGATAATGATTTTCCAAAAATGACTGAATAAAAGCAAATGTAAATTGTTTTAGTGTTTTCACTCAACAGAAACAATATTGAGTTTTTTGACATTAGAAGGCAACTAAAGACATTAAATGTAACTTATTTGTCCTCTTTGATGAGGCACGAAAATAGAGCTTCCTGAGATAAAGTTGTTCCTATAGCATGTGGGCACATTTCTGATTTGTCTCTGTTCAGAAGTGACTACAGCAATGGATAGGCCTGAGAGGAGGTGAGAAGGAGCAATTCGTGATGGTGTGTATAAGGGAACTTTGATCAACATCGACAAAGCTCACGGTTCTATCTTCACAATTCAGGAATACTCCTACTTGGTTGCTAGGTCTTGGAACATATTGTACCATAAGTAGGGACGTGGTAAAGAGACTGCAGTGAACATCCTCCTTAACACATCCAAGAAGAAAGAGTCCCTTCTCTTCATCTATCTTGTCATTCTGTCTCTTCTCTTTCCAATAATTGTTACAGACTCCAAAAGCCCAATTGCAAGAGTCCCCCACATGAACCTCCCAGTAATATTTTCCACATGTGAAAGTCTGAGCACCCCATGAAAGAACACATCCAGGTGCTGCAGTGATATGGGGATCATCTTGAGGGTCACACCCAACATTCATGCTTCTCAAATCTCCATGCAGGAAGGTATGACTATTGGTTCTTTCAGGATGCAGAATAATATCAACTCTGAATCCACGGAGCTTGTGCACCAGTCCAGCGATGGGCCCTGTACTGAGTTCCGGATTCACAGGCTTGGGCACCTGCAGCAGCAGGAACTCACACCTGTATAACATGTCTCCAAAAGCCTGAAGTAGTTCCGCATCTGGTTTATAGCCCATTTCCTTCAGCTCCTCATACATTCCTCTTAACGTCTCCCTCGAATGTTTCATTCTAGCTTTGCTTTCATTGAGTGGCTGAAAAATGTCCTCGCCGTTTTTTTGCAGCCTCTCCAAATAACGTTGCCCTTCTTCATGGAGAAACGCCGGCATCTTCTGATATTGAGCTCTGATTGCTTCTATCCTTGGGCTCACATAATCCTTCCAGCCTCTGGTTCTTGTGGTTTCCATGTTCAGGTTTCTGTGATTTTCACAAGCTTTTTCTGATAAAAACTGCATTTTCTTTAGGAGCTTCTCCTCACATTCCTCAGCAGCCCGGTCCACGGGACAGTGTCTATGTCTGTGATCCCGGTGCTCCTGAGAGTTGGAGCACAGTAAACAGAGTAAGCTCTGGTCCACTTCACAGAACACCTTCTTTGTCTTCCTGTGAATCCCACACTTGGTTCCTCAGGGCTCAGGAAATGCCAGGGGCTGGCTTTTCTGACACTGGAAGCCATGTTCTTCAAAGCAGCGTTAGTTTTAAGTTGTCTCCACCGTATCTCCGTCTTGCATACAGAGCACTGAGCAGGAGCTGGGATGTCCGGCCAGCTGACATACAAACAGGGCCTGCAAAAGTTGTGTCCACAGTCTATGGTGACTGGGTCTAGCAAGCAGTTCATGCAATCGGGACAGGCGATTGCCCTGTGCAAGATTTGCAAGATTATAGAATTCACGTTTAAGGGTGTCCTTCCTCACAGGCTTTTACTCCAAAGACCTTCTTATGGAAACAGGAAATATGTCATATCGAATTTTTTATTATTATTATTATTTTAAGATAGGGTCTTGCTGTGTTGCCCAAGCTGGACTTTAATGCCTGGGCTCAAGCCGTCCTTCTGCTTCAGTCTCTCAAGTAGCTGACGCTAGAGGTACACACCACTGCACCAGACTCAAAGAATTCTGATGGCTTTCTTTTCAAACATTGACACCTTTTATATCCACATTATAAGGAATTAACCTTAATATAATCAATTAACTATTTCCAGACCTTCTTTAGATTTCTCCATTTGTACTGCTAATGTCTTTTTCTGTTCCAGAATCCAGTTTTCATATCACCTTAGTATCCTCCCATCTAGGATAATTCCTCTGTTTTTCTCGTTCATGACCTTCATGAGTGTTATTTAGTTATGGTATAGAATGTATTCAGTTTGGGTTTGTCTGATCTTTTTTTCTGATGAAATTCAGCTTATATGTGTTTGGCAAGAATACCACAAAGGCAGCACTGTGTCTTCTTAGAGCATCTACCAGGAGGCATGTGATGTTAATATGTCTTGTTCTTCATGATCTTATCTTTGATCATATTGTTAAGGTGGGTTTCTCCCTTATGAAGTTATTACTCTTCTCTTTTTCGTGGGGATATATTTTGAGATTATGCAAATATTTTTTCTCAGAATATTAACCCCAGTAATTTTAGGATCTATTGATGATTCTTGCCTACAATTAATACTGTGGTGTTTGTCAACTAGTAATTTCTAGTTTCATCTTTCCTTCTACACTTATAAATTAGAATTCATCTGTGAGGGCCAGGCCTGGCGGCTCATGCCTGTAATCCTTTGGGAGGCCTAGGCAGGCAGATCACTTGAGGTCAGGAGTTCAAGACCAGGCCAGCCACCATGCTGAAAACTCGACTGTACTAAAAGTACAAAAATTAGCCAGGCACAGTCATGCTTGCCTGTAGTCCTAGCTAGTCAGGAGGCTGGGGCAGGAGAATTGCTTGAACTCAGGAGGCAGAGGTTGTAATGAGCCAAGATTGTGCCACTGCACTGCACTCGAGCCTGGGTGACAGAGTAAGACTCTGGCTCCAAAAAAAAAAAAAAAAAAAAAAAAAAATCAGCTGTGAGAAAGAGATTATCCTCCCCATTTTAATTACTTATTCAATTATTTATGTCAGTATGGATTCATGGATATTTTATTCTGTTTGTTACAATCTCTTACTACTGACATTTATTTTGTTACCCAAATTATCTCATATTGACCATTGGGAGCCTCTTGAATTTGGCCAGTGTGTCCTTTTGACATGTCCTTGTCGTATTCTGACTATTTCCTTACTTTGTTTTCCAGCATCACAGATATTACAGGCTCATCTTCCCTACTGAGACCTGGAATCAGCTATTTCTCCAAGGATCATTATTTCTTTTTAATAGGAGAATGATGTTTAGAAATCAATATATGGTTACTGAATGTGCTAATTGATACTGGAGTGTCATTACTCCTAGTCCTTAGAACACACATAAGCCTAAGAACATAGATGTATATAAACACACACACACACACACACACACACACACACACACACAGAGAGAGAGAGAGAGAGAAAGAGAGAGAGAGAGAGAGAGAGAAATTTGAGTTCATATTGATCACAAGTTCAAGTTGATCTCTCTACTTCTAATCTCCCAATAGTTTATTCTCATATTCCCCCAGTCTTATTCCATTCTGTGACAGTGAGAAAATTGGCTTTTATTATGCACACTATTTTATTTATTTGCTCAATCTTAGAATACTGAAAATAGCTTCAGAATTGCTAATCCAGATTCTGTGAAAAGCAAACTTACAGACTATATAATGTTTGTATACAGTTTTTTTTTTGTAGTTTAGCTTTTTAAAATACAACCAAATACCATTTTCCAGAGTTACTTAAATTAGTTCTTTTCTTTCCCACCTCTTTGTTGCAGTTATTTTATTCATTTGTAATGCAATTAGGTTTATTCGTTAATGTATTTTATTTGGGATTTCCTCTACAATGTTTGTACTGTATTTTCATTTTTATTTTTTTATTTATTGAGACTTTTCTTTTTAGTATGTGAAACATTATCATGATTCTGAAAGTCAGAACTTGACAGAAAAGCACACTCAGAGTGGAATCCCTTTATCCCTTACACTGTCTTGCCGCTGTTTCTCATTTTTATCCACTCTGCTCCCAACTGCCCTCTAAATAAGTTTCAAACTTATTCTTCCTGTATTGATTTTTGCATACCTGAGCAAATACACATACACACTCTTATCTCTTCTGCTTTCTTACATAAATGGTAGCACACTAGCATAACCAGTCTCTTCCACTTAACAATGTATTCTGGAACTCTCCATGTCAGATCATTGAGATCTCCTGTATTTACTTATACAGCTGCTTGGTACTCCCTGTGTGAATCTTTCTTAGCATATTCCACTAATCTCCTATGTATGGGCATCTAGGTTGTTTTCTCTATTTTACAATTTAAAATAATGATGAGATGACTATACTTGTGCAAATGTATTTTTCTTCTCTTAGAAATGTATATTCAGGATAGATCCCTAGAAGAGAGATTTCTGGGTCAAAGGTAAGCACATATGTAGTTTTGTTCAATCTTGCCATCTCCTCCTTCATGTGGCTCTACCTATTTGCCACCCCGATGCATGAGAATATGTTTCCCCACAGTCTCACCAAATGCTTTTGTTCATGCTTTTTAAATTTTCACAAATTTAATAGTTATGAAATGGTAACATACAAAGGTAATATTTTTAAAGGTGGTATTATAAATTACACTTATCTAATAATGACAGAGTTTGAACATCTTGTAATGTTTAAAGATATATTTATATCTGTTGAATTGTTTATGTCTTTGGCCTATTTCTTTATCAAGTTTTCCTCCTTTGTCCTTCAACGTTAAAGAGTTGTTTTAAAAAATTTTATTTCAATAATCAGTGGGGTACAAGTGGTTTTTGTTACATGGATGAATTATCTAGTGCTGAATTCTGAGATTTCTGTTACCCAAGTAGTAGATATTTTGCCTAATATGTAGTTTTTTTATCCCTAGTCCCCTTTCCACCCTTCCTCTTCTGAATTTCTAAAGTCCATTATATCACTCTGTATGCCTTTGCATACTCATAGCTTAACTCCCACTTATAAGTGAGAACATACAGTTTTTGGTTTTCCACTTCTGTGTTACTTCTCGTAGAATAATGGCCTCCAGCTCCATCCAAGTTGCTGCAAAAGACATTATTTCATTTTTTTTTATGGCTGAGTAGTATTCCATGGTATATATATGTGGTATGATTGGATAAAGCAAATGTGATATTTGCTTGACAGTTGTGAATTGTGCTGCTGTAAACATTAGTGTGCAGGTGTCTTTTTCATATAATGGCTTCCTTTCCTTTGGGTAGATACCCAGTAGGGGAATTGCTGAATCGAATGGTAGATCTACTTTAAGCTCCTGTTAAAGAGTTTTTAAATATAAGTTGAGCACCCCTATTCTGAAAATCCAAAATTTGGAAACTTTTTGAGTGCCAACATGACCCCACAAGTAGAAAATTCCATACCTGACTTCATTCACAGGTGCACAAAGTTATTAAAATTATTATATAAAATTACCTTTAGGCTATGCATAGAAAGAGTATATAAAGCATAAATAAATTTTGTATTTAGACTTGGGTCCCATTCCCAAGATATCTCATTATGTATATGCAAATATTCAAAAATCCAAAATACAAAACACTTCTGGTTCCAAGTATTTTGGATAAGATTTACTCAAACGGTAATTGAAAGGTTAGCCCTTTGCCTCTGTTATATGCTACAAATTCTTCCCTTTGTAATTTTTTTTAAAAATAATTTTTGAGACGGAGTCTTACTCTGTCACCCAGAGTTCAATGGCATGATCTTGGCTCACTGCAACCTCCGCCTCCTGGGTTCAGGCGATTCTCCTGCCTCAGCCTCCCAAGTAGCTGAGATTATAGGCATGTGCCACCACACCTGGCTAAATTTGTATTTTTAGTAGAGATGGGGTTTCACCATGTTGGTCAGGCTGGTCTCACACTCCTGACCTCAGGTGATCCACCCTCCTCATCCTCCTGAAGTGCTGGGATTACAGGCGTGAGCCAACATGCCCGGCTTCCCTTTGCATTTTATGCTACATACATGTACTGCTTGTTTAAAAAAATTTCAAGTGCATGTAGACACAAAATATTTATCTACATGTTTTGTAGAAACTGAAAAAAATAAGAAAAAATGTGTCAGGTTTTAGGGTGGTAGTAATTGTACTTGAGTTTTCAGTGAGCATCTTGGTCCTTGTGATTTTCTACTTGCCCTTTCTCTTAGGAACCCTTAAGTCAGGGAGCAGACATGTGCCAACTAGGAGGCCTTGGTGGACGGCCAGGTCTGAGCAGCTGAAGGCCAACCCTGACTCTCACTCTCTCCTTGCATTTTGTGGTACCTGCACCTGTGCAGTGAGTGTCACCAGTTCCAGGAAGTAAATAAGGAGTGACACACATGGCTCATTTTCCCCCCTCCTGCTCCCTCCCCCATGATCCAGTAAACATTGCAGGAATGGTGTTCCTGCAGACATGTCAGATCCTTCCTTCTAAATATAAATGCAGAGACACTAAAAATAACATGTTAAAGTGAGTTTTGTTGGTTCCTGAAATGTCAGCACACCAAGTGTATAAACTTATTTCTCGAGGAGCCAGGAAGGAGCAGGTGGCTATGCACTTAGAACTGGGCTTTTGCAAATGCAAAGAGAAACTGTCTGAAGCTTGCTGGAGAGCTGCCATATCTTGATTTTTTAAGTTGTGCTAAAAGCAGGACAGCAGGGGACTAGTTCTTCCCTTGTCTAATAGATTTGTATCAGGGTTCTTAAGCACGTGTAGTCCACAG